GCATAATTTACATTCTTTATCGCATAATTGGCCTTTCTAATCGCATAATCTGCCCTGCAAATTTCGCTTAATTTGCATTTTTTCATCACACCCTATCAGAAGGCCTGAACAGTTTGGCCTTTGTTTGATATGCTTAGTGTAACATGAAAAATAGTGGTAGCACTGGTTGGTCATAGAGGAGGACTGGGAAATGCCGGAAACCGTTGTGAGCCCCTAAAATGAAAGTTATTAGGCACTCCTATGGGGTCATGGCAAAAAGTGAAGTGGGTGTAATTATAAGATCTAAACTAGTGAGACAATTTCAGATAGTGCAGAGTGTAAGGTAATTAGCGCTGAAGCAGTACTATATAACACAGTTCCTAAATAACACCTGTCTTTCACTCCTGGTTTGTATTGACCTTGTTTGTTAAATGATACATTGAAGTAGTGAATGTGACAATTTTACTTTTCATGCCAACGTTTGTAGCTTGATATTTTTGTTTTCCTCGCAAAGGTATGTAACATGAAACTCTTGCTTTCTTGAAAACACACAGAAGATGTGCTCTTATCTTTTTCACAGCTGGAGATAAATGGTTTGAAATAAATGGAAGAAAGTTGAGTGTTGGATGAAGAAATGGAAGAGGAATGATTTGTTTTATTTAGCACGCAAATTTCCTTTTCATCGATGAACAAGAACGAATCTAATTAGCAAATTATCACAGAACAGCGTGTTCTGTTGCCAGCTTTGGTGCAACAATAAAACCACTTAAATTTAATGCACACTTTGTCTGATATCGATTAATACAACTGAGAAGCGTTTCAATGAGAAGTATTTAAAGTAAACAGTGCTACTTGATCGAGATTATATCCTTCGTCAGTGAACGATTTGTACAATTTGACAAGTTCTAATGCCACTTAATGGTGAAAGTTTTGGCTGCCGAGAGATGAACTTTTTGGTCTATTTGATAGAGGTAATTAAGGGATGAAATAACCGCAGTAGTTAGTTTGGAATCAACAGATGATATTCCTTGAACCAAGTTAGGCATAATTCCAAAAGATACACAGTCACAGTAGTGTTCTTTTATCATGCTATTAAATGATGCTAGAACGCATACGTATGACATGTTAGGGTTCTACCACAAGGGTTCTTTCACCTAATATGTATTTGACACTAACGCTTATTAAAATGCACATGTGTTTAGAGCAAATACTGGTTTTGCTCTAAAGAGAAAAGAACCACAAGGAAAGCAAGCGGTTTTCTGAAACAAATATATAGCTTTGTGAAGTAATCAAAGAAGTCGCATGGGTATTACACGTTTTACAGTACCGGTCAAATGTAAGTTGACAGTCACTCGAAATTTGAACGACTTGACTTGCTCCTCGATCCTCGGAACTTGAAAACTTTGTGTATTGAGTCTTGAGTTGAGTCGTTCAAGATTCGAGTCGAGGAGACAAAGAATTTATCGCTCGATTAATTTTTCCAAATACATGTACATGTCAATCTTGCTGGTTTACTTTTGGAGACAGAGAAATTTTCAAGTCGCAACTCTACAGGCAGTAAGTGACTCTACATTTGTAAATCAGTTGGCTAATTTAAATTGATTGTTTTGTCCTTTAGCTGAACTTCTGTCACTTTGGAGTTAATTATTGTTCAATTCAGAGTAACAACAGAGTAACAGTTCTGAACAAGACGCTGAGTTTCGTTTAAATCAACCGTACAAAGGGCTCAATAGAAATCAGAAACGTTGACTCTTGAAGTGCGCACGTGACTCGAAATCACCAGCTTCTTCCAATTGGTTGTTTGTTTTGACGCTTCATATGAACACATTTCTTTCGATTCAGAGCTATCTTTAATCCATTCGCTGATGATTTCAGAGTAACTTTTCTGGTCAGTTTTCAATTTGATGCTGCGTTTTGTTTTTACGGCTCAACAGAAGTTAGAAACTCTCAAAGCGGTTCATCTTTGGCCATGCACACGGTGTTGGTGTATAGTTGCTAATTATCGACAAATGTCCGACTTTTAGTCAAATATTTTTTGTTATGGACCGAATCTGAATGAAAACAATTTTAGTCATAGATTCTCTGTTATATCAGCTTGTGGTGGTGTTGTTTGGATCTCCTCTCTTTTGCCGAGTTAGTGAGTAACAAGGAAAAAAATTTACATGAATCACTGAAATTCTCATAGGCGGTGCTCCATTTTCAATCCCAAACGGTGCAGAGTTTGCAGCGTTTACAGAGTTCGCAACGTGCCTAACGTTCGTTTGGTTTCCCGGTGTTAAATCATGTCAAACCTTCTGTCTCTATTGTTTCTATCACTCGTTTTCCTTCTATCGTTTGTTTCGTTTCGAACATTTAAATGCTCACCTTAAATTTATTTATTCAAAGACCCACATGATTGGTTGACATCGTGAGGAATTTCCAGGGACCCTTCATGCAAAAAACTGGCTTGGTAAACAAAACAATCATCTGTTTCTTGCAACCAATTTTGTAGGAACATTTCCATGTGATTTGAAATGTTGAAAAAACTTCTAATGGGTTGTTTCATGCAGACAAGGAAATGCACATCAAAATTGAAAGACCTTATCTTCTGCTGAAGTTAAGATCAATTGCTCAATTACCTATAATAATGTCACAAAAATTAAGATATATCAACTGTTAAAGCTGTTAGATAAAAAAAGGATAAATCAGTGGAAAACCTTTCTGCTTTATTCAACCTGGAATTTTACTAGCTGTGGGAAGCGACAATTCTGATTGGCCAGCCTGTAATAATATTGTATTTTATCAAAAGTCAACAAAAAGAGTCAACATTGTTTCGTCTGGGATCCATCTAGGTTTTTTATGAAGGCACAGGAAGTTTCTTTCGTAGTTTACAACAAGTTGTCGTGTTAAACATGCCTTGATGTAACAGAAATTGACATGACATGAGTAATTTTAAATGCTACCAAGTGAGTTTCACAGTTTGATTGAGTCGCACACAAACACAATCGGTGGAAATCATGAAAAAGCGTGGCCTTCAGGAGTTGTTTTGAACATTATGCAAATTCAAACAATCACTGCCGACTGTCAGTGCAAACAAGAGCTGGAAAGCTGTTTGCCAATGAAGGCGATGTTAGAGTTACATGCACGGTATCTTGATAAGTATTTTTTTAAATACGATAATTGGCTAGAAAATCATTTGCTAATTCATACAATTGCAGTAACACTTAGAAATTTGTATACCGCAAGCAAGTTGAAATTTGAGCTCGCTGGAAATGAAAAGAGCTAGAAATATCATTTCGCACTTGCGGGCTACATTCTCTAAATTTGGTTGATTCGTACTTGTGTTGTTTTTGCTATGCAACAAATGCTATATGATTGCGATTCAAGACTTCCACTCCAGACTAACGATTTGGACATTAGTATGAAATAAATGTACTCTTGCATGAATAAAGGAAGCTGCATGAAGCGCGGTGTTGTTTATTTCTATTGTTATGAATTCAAGATATAAATTGTTTTCTTGAAAAATTTTTCGAGCGTCTCGAAACTTACAACTCGCTACTCGAAACTCAAAGCTTGAAACTTGAGCCTTGAAATTTGATTCTCAATTCTCAAAAGCACTGAGTATCAAGGATTGAGTTTCGAGTCAAGACTGTCAACTTACATTTGACCAGTACTGTAAGTAGTGTTCACAATTACCTAACCCATCCCATCCCCCTTGCTGCAAGCCTAATTCATTAATTGAAATTAATTAATTAAACAAACATTAAAGTTTACACCTTAGTGCCTTACGAGCTTAGTGCCTCACGACCTCAGTGCCTCACGACCTCAGCGCCTCACGACCTTAGCGCCTCATGACCTTAGTGCCTTATGACCTCACTGCTTTAGTGGATGTCAACCCCCTAAAGCATCCCAGTAGTGCACTCTACTGAACTAAAAATGTACCACGATCACAAAGACTGAGCTAATTAATGAAGTTTACATACCCTTCGTCGTCAAGCCCCAAAGTATGGAATACTGACAAAAGCCTTGTCGGTTTTGTCCCAATATCCTGTTGTTCCGCTGTTCGAAGCAAGGAAATCTGCAGCGTTCAACTCTGGAAGACCATAGCTTATAGATGACTTATCGTAATTCAAGTTTAGAATGTGTTCCCGGCTTTCCAAATCATAATCTTCGATAGGCAACTCTTCGTTTCTCTTTTCGCTCGAAGCCACACCAGTTGGAGTTGTAATGGATCGACTAGCTGCGGGACTGTGAGAAGGGCTGCCTTCACCTTTAGACTCTTTAGAAGCTAACTTCAAGGCTGTAACCACTGCAGCAGTTTGTTGAACTTTCTTCGTTCGATTTTGATTTTCTCTGGATACAATAATTCCCATCTCAACGTTAGGTCAAAGGATCAAGTAAGCCTGATTCCATTATTCTGACGGAAAACACTCTCTCAGTTCAAAATTAGGAGATCAACTGGATTTTAAATGTTTGTGTGTATCATTCTACGCGGCAACCATGGAATCTTATTCCCAGCGTCCACTCCACGACAATCAGTATTTTCCTGGCCGAGGAGGCCTCGTGCATAGTCCACCAAGTTATCCCATAATAATATACCGCGTTGTCGATGCGCGATGCAAATCAAGTTGCTTGAATTCGCTTTGTAGTCAGGCGGAGATTCCCTTGCAATTTGAGAACAGAAACGTTAATAGTAAGTGTTGAGATGGCCGAAGAAGGGGAATTGTCATCCCCAGATGAACTGGAAACAAGTAAGTCGTATATTTTACTGAGGTTATGATAAAAAATGTGGATCATCCACCTCGCTGTGTCATGATGTAAGCTTAGAAGTAATATGCATATGCTTAAATTAAAGCTTACATTTAAGCAAGTCTTAATGCTTTAAATTGTTTTTTTGCTGCTGTTTCGAGGTGTTCAGTTACCAACGCTTTTGCAGCAAAACAAGGAAAGAGAAGTACGGAACATTAAATATAGTTGTTTAGAAGCGAAAATTGTCCTTTCAATTATGAAAAGGTTTTCATTGACAGGTGACCCCCATGGATTCGTGACGTGATATGTGTAGATTTTTTGCAGTAATCAGTAAAGGAAAATCGTATATATGCAGCGCTACAGTCAAGGCGATTCAAGCTGGGGGCTTTTTAAAACTTCGATAAGTAAATACAACTTATAACATCCTGTCCTGCAAAATTTCAGTTAAGGTAATTAATTCCCTTGAAATTGTTCTATGATCAAACTTTTTTTGAAACTTGGCATAATTAACATGTCATTCATGATATGAGCGTTAAAAAAATGCATTAAGAAAATGGGTTGTGCGTGCTTGTTAACATGTCAGCAGGTTCTTAAAATTGGGTATTTTTACTGGTTGTGCGTTAAAAATTCGAATCACCTGTTACGTATATGGCTTGTCTCACCATATTTGGAGAAACGTGTTTTCTAACTGCACGTGTCTTACATGAAGTAGGCAGTAAAACAAGTTGAGTTGCTTTGCAAATGGTGTCTTGTTGTGCCATCCGCAACATGGTGTCAGAAGCGGGATGTTAATCTTCAAGCGAGCTGCAATGCTCAAGATTCCTTCTGGTTGATATTCAGTCAAAGCAGTTACTGAAGCAAAGCAAAGTGATAATTCCGTGGTTAACAGTTAGTATAGCAACTTTCTTGTGTCGCCCATGTGGGTGGAAAATGAAACAATGTCGGACACCGAACAAGCTTCTCCACTGCCAGCTCCACAGCAGACTCTACTGCCTCAAATCTTCAGTTTTCCGACAAATTTTCTGGTACAGAGTGGTATGGTTTGTCGTGGAGATCTCAGGAGCAACTGGGAATTTTTCAAGCAACAATGGCGAGATTATGAGGTGGCTACGGGTATGGATCAGAAAGGTCAGTCAGTTCGATTAGCAACTTTTCGCTCCTTTATGGGAAAGGAGTGCCTACAAATTTCTCTGAATCTAAATTTTGGCACCGAGGAACTGATGATAACTTCAGCACTGAAAGCGTACTTCCTACCAAAGAGAAATGTGGTCGGTGAGAGGTATGTTTTTAAGTCATGTGTTCAATCGTCCGAAGAAACTTTTGATTGCTATGTCAATAGATTAAGAAAACTCGAATCATCCTGTCAGTTTGGAACACTTGCTGATGAAATGATATGCAACAGGCTAGTTATTGGAATAAAAGGTAAGAGTACAAAGGCAAGATTGCTTAGGGAGAAAGACTTGTGTTTGGATAAAGCTCATGGCATGTGTAAGTCAAGCGAAGTAACAAATAAGCAGCTTGAGTCGATTCAAAAGGATGAGAAACAGGACAATGAGGAACTAAACGTAGTTCAGGATAAGCATAAATCGACAAAAGACAAGAAGCTTCCACATCTGAAAAAAACATCAAATCAAAAGAAACCTAACAAACCATTTCCAAGCAAAATGTGGAAATGCAAGTATTGTGGTCAGCAAAAGAAGCATGCCAAACAGACAGATTGTTCAGCTTTTGGTCAGCAATGTTGTAGTTGTAAAAGAATGAATCACTTTGCCAAGGTGTGCATGGCCGGCAAAGAGAAGGTTCATGTGGCTGAGGAGGCAGAAGGGTATGACTCAGAGGAATCATTGTTAAAGGTAGAAGAGATCACTGCCATTAATGGAAGTGGAAAACAATTAACATCCAGTATTACTCTCATAATAGAAGAAGAGTACCAAGAGCAACTGGTGTGTGAGTTGGACACTGGTGCAACTTGCAATGTGATCAGTCACAGGAACTTAACTCAACTGTTGCAGAATGGTGATCCTCCTTTGTGCACATCCAGTGCTCAGCTAAAGTTATTTTATGGTACCTTGATGCAGCCTGCTGGTGAAACCACACTTACAGCAGAGAGAAGGGGCAAACGAGTGGACCTGAGATTTCAAGTTGTTGAGAGTTCCAACAAACCCCTGTTATCACCTGAGACGTGGGAGCAATTGGGGCTCCTGAAGGTGGATTTAGATCCTGAAGAGTCCATTCATGTCCTGAAAAGCAGTTACCTTACCAGAGATCAGATTCTGGGTGACTACAAAGATGTCTTCGAAGGGCTAGTCCATGTCAGTGATACAACCATAGTCACAGATCCCAGTGTCAAACCAGTGCAGCATTCTCCATGTCAAGTACCAGTTGCCCTGAGAGACAAAGTCAAGGCTAAACTGGATGACCTAGAAGAGAAGGAATTGTGGAGAAAGTCACAACACCGACTGACTGGATCAGTAACATTGTTGTGGTCACAACACCCAACAAGATCCAGATTTGTTTTGATCCTAAAGATCTCAACAAAGCAGTCATCTGTCCAAAGTACCAGATGCCCACATTAGACGAATTATTGTCTAAGCTCAGCAAAGCTAAAGTATTTAGTACCTTAGATGCCAAAGATGGGTTTTATCAGGTCGGATTGGATGAGAGCAGCAGTCTCATGACTACCTTCTGGACACCCTTTGGGTGTTACAAGTACTTGAGACTACCCTTTGGTATCAACTTGGCTCCGGAAGAATTTGAATATAAATTGCATGAGAAGCTTGATGGTCTTCCTGGAGTAGAAGTCATCAGGGATGACATATTAGTGATGGATTTTGGAGAGAATGAGGATGAAGCAAACCAAAATCATGATGAGAACCTCCTCTGTCTGCTAGAGCAAGCTTGTAAAGCTAATCTGCATCTAAACAGCAGCAAGATGAACCTCAGGAAGTCTGAAGTCAGATTCATGGGGCACTTGATTACCAAGGAAGGGTTACAGCCAGACCCAGAGAAAGCAAAGGCAGTACAAGAAACGCCAAAGCCTACATCCAAGAAGGAACTTCTGAGTCTCTTACAGTACCGGTCAAAGGGATTGCAGCACCTACACGCACATGAAATGCGTGTAGTCTGCGTGTAGTATTCATGGACAGTGTGTGGACAGTGTGTGGGCAGTGCGTGGATGGTGCGTGTAATTACACGCATGTAAAATTTACTGATCTGTTAGTTACACATATTTATGTGTAATTTTACGCAAATGCATGTATTTTAATCGGAGGAAGAAACCTTTGTTATTCATACACGCAGTTGTGTGTATTTTGCATAACAAAAAGCCACTACTAACTTGTATTCGAAACCCGCAACTCTCAATGTTCACAACAAAAAGTAAATTTAAAAGCAAACAAGCATTGCTAAATTAGTGGACTAGCTCAAGCACCTATCAAACAAATACTATTTTTTAGTCTGTAGCAGTCTGCACTTCTGCTTAACATCTAAACTTAATTCTTAAAGATCTATGAGTTTTCGTTTACGACGTGCGTCACAACGTAATGTTTACCCACGCACGAAGTGTCATTTCAACCCCGTTCGTTCGCTAACAATGAAATAGGGATTCAAACAGAAACTCGCGGACTCTTTCTTAATCTGCTTATTGGTTACACTGCTGCTTAAACGGCCAAGAATCGCAACTTTTTTAACAAAGTCTAAGCGTTTGTTAATTTTCGATTGATCAGATTTTCATCCCTGGGTTGAGTCGCGTTGACAGATCGTAGATTTGGGAAGATTTTGGTCATGTGCTGGGCAACGATGTTCAAGAAACAGATCAAATTTCATTTCAATCAGATCAAAACAATATGCTTTCACGCAGACAACATTTGCTTCTGAGTATGAGTCTTCAAAGGCTTTTTAAACTTAAAGAAGATAACTGATGTTTAAAAATTAATTGAAAATCTCAAGCGAAATAATGTGTTTTGCTGTTATGTCGTGTCCATCAAGCCTCAGTTTGTCACTCGCCAACACCCTTGTTGTTTCTCACGAAAAGAAAAAACACAACGGGAAAAGCTTTTGAACACCAGTAAACTCCGAATGCTTCGGAGTACGAAATATTTTTAAAGAATCTTCAACTTGTTTTAAAGCACACTGATTGCTGTAATTTAAAATTGAAAGCGAAATTATGTGTGTATGTTCTGTTATCTCAGTGAATCCTGGCATGCCTGTCAGTCGCTGGCGCCGCTTGGTGAAACTACATGTACAATGCAAAAAATACTTTCACTGTAAAGCGGTAAGCCGGTTTAAGGAAACTGGTCTATTCTATCAGAAACGTTTGATGACCAGAAGTAAGAAGGTGAAAGACTAAACTGTATTGCAGTGCAGTCCAATGCGGTAAATGTTACACGGTAAATGTTTCGTTTTCGTTATTTCATGTCCGTCAAGCCTCAGTTCGTCAGTTGCTGGCACCCTTGTTGTTTCTCACGAAAAGAACAAACACGACGGGAAAAGCTTTTGAACACCGGTAAACTCTGAATGCTCCGGAGTACAAAATATTTCTAAAGAATCTTCAACTTGTTTTAAAGTACACTGATTGCTGTAATTTAAAATTGACAGTGAAATTATGTGTTTATGTTCTGTTATCTCAGTGAATCCTAGCACGCCTGTCAGTTGCTGGTGCCGCTTGTTGAAACTATGTACAACGCAAAAAATACTTTTACTGTAAAGTGGTAAGCCAGTTAAAGGAAACTGGTCTATTCTATCGGAAATGTTTGATGACCAGAAGTAAGAAGGCGAAAGACTAAACCATATCGCAGTGCAGTCCAGTACGGTAAATGTTACACGGTAAATGTTTTGTTTTCATTACACGCACTTTTAATATTTTGTTGTCATTACACGCACTTAATGAGTTCCAGTTGAACGAGTGCGTGTAATTTTACGCGCAGTATCACATCTACTGCGTAAAATTACGCGCATGCAAATACACGCATTTTCGTGTATTTGCGTGTAAGGTGCGTGGACA